TTTTTTTTCCTTTTAATTGTGATTTGGGTGACTCTGTACTGATAGAATTAATTTTCCATACAACAGTTCATACCCATTTTGTTTCACAACATTGACTGCAATCCCATAATGTAACAGCTCCCTCTGGTACCCTTCCCCTGTTTTCTTCTTTCCTATACATTCCTGCCCTCTGAGCTATCTTCCAATACAAATACTGCCCTGCTGGTCTCCCATGGTTGATTGTTCTAAAGAGTGTACCTACCTGGTGTAAATGTTCATTTTATATGCCTGTTTATTGTTAGGCTGGAAGCAAAAGGAGTGAGTTCATTTCCTGGCCTGAAGGGTTATTAGGACCATACTCTTGGGGGTTTCACCAGTCTCTAACAGATCAGTAAGGCTGTTTTCTTTTATAATTTGGAGGTAGGATATGTTTTAAATCAATCACTTTTGCAATATAAAAAGAGCAGAGCAGATAAAGGGCAGAGAAAGCAATACAAATAGAGGGGAAGATACATGTTACATGAGGGTCTCTAAGGAATACAGGATTAGAAGCTGAAAAGAGACAAAGACCTTCCCCAAAAATGGACAATGAAAGCTTTCCACCAGATCTGGTGCCCTGAATTTGGACTTCTAGCCTCACAAACTGTGAGAAAATAAATTTTTAATTATTAAAGCCATCCACTTGTGGTATTTCTTAAGACAGCATTAAAACACTAAGGAGCTCTGGTGACTTAGTGCCTAAGGCATTTGACTGCTAACCAGAATGCTGGTGGTTTAAACCCACCAGATACTCCATGGAAAGATGGTTGGGCAATCTACTTCTTTAAAGATTTACTGCCTTGGACATACTGCCCAAAGGGGGTTGCTATGAGTTGGAATCGACTCAATGGCAGTGAGTTTAAGACACTAAAATATTAAGGAATACAGAATTTGGGGGAAGAGTGAGGATATATACACACACACATACACACATATGCACACACACACATATCTCCAAGATTCTATAGTAATAGCCACATATTTGTAGGGATTATCAGATGTGAGACTTTACTCTGTATTATTTCTAATGCTCACAAAGACACTATGAGGTTTGTACTTTTTATCTTCTTTGTAGCAGGTAAGAAAACTAATGCTAAGAAGTCTAGAAACTCCTAAATTTAAATTTATTAGCTCTATCTCCCTTCATTTTATCAGTCATTTTTCTTATTTCATTCTAAATTTGTTTTTATCTACTTACCACCACTTGTATCTATGTGGTAGACTCCAAATTCCTTCCCTTCTTGAGTACATACTCTTTTTTTATCGCATGTGCTTCATCAGGAGATGAATATTCTCTTTCCTCTTAAATTTGGGCTTGGATATATGGTTTGCTTTAGCCAGTGGGATACTAGCAAATATAACATGAGCAGAGGCTTGAAAACACCTAAACTTGGGGATTTGTCTTCTCTTTGCTGAATACATTCTGCTACCAGCTCTGGTAGCATAGTTGCTAAGACACTTGCCTGCTAACCAGACGGCTGGCGGTTCAAACCCACCAGCCACTCCTCGGAAGGAAGGTTGGGCAATCCTACTTCCGTAGTGATACTGCCTCGGAAACCCAAGGAGGGGTCGCTATGAGTCGGGGCCGACTCGACGGCACATAACAACAACAACAACAACCATGTGAATGAGTGAATGAACCTATGCTAGTTTGATGAATGATGAGAGACATGTGACCTTCATCCCAGTTGACATAAAGTTAACTACCAAACATATGAATGAGTTCTTCCTCACAAAAACTATCCAACCTGCCAACTACAGAATATCCAGCCCAAGCCAAGGCAGCACACAGCCCACTCTATCAACTCATATAATTACAGAGACAGTTCCTTGTTTTAAGCCATTAGGTTTGGGATGGGAGTTTTAAACCACCACCTCAGCACACCCTACCATAGCCTCTTTCCCAAATCATCCTGATTTATATCTAAAGAACTGAACACTATTAAAGACACCAACTGGTATAAAAAGGCCTTCCTTTTCAATAGAAACAACATTCTATTATAATTAACATGTCTTAAATAATTCATCATTTTACAATTCATATTTATTACCCATGATAAGGTAATATATCCTTACAGCTACTTAATGTAGAATCCTCAGAATGTTTTTTGCCACTTTCCTTGTATCAGTTCAGTCAAATGTTATATCTTCAAAATATCTCACAGATCTTTCTGATGCCACTGGCACAAACCTAATTAACAAGTCATCTCTTACAGGAACTATGGAAACAGTTTCTATCTACCAAACTCATTTCTAATCAGTTCATCAGCTGAATTGACTTAAGAAATATTTTGCTCAGGAATAGAACTGATTATGTTACAATGTAGCACTCTATTGATTCAGGAGAAAAACAAAAAGAAAAGAAAAAGGAGGTAAAAATAGTTCATGGTTATCTTCAGGATAAAATATAAACTCCTTAGCATGAGATACAGAATCCTTCACAATCTGCCTTATTTATTTCTTCTTTCCCTCAAGACCTCCTTCCATTTTATGAGCATAAAACATACTTTCTTAAAACTGTTGCACATTTTCACATATCTATATTTTGATTCTTTGTTTCCTCTTTCTGATAGTTCCCTGTCATCCCTCTTTCCTTTTCCTCTTAAGCAAGTCTTACTCATCCTTCAAAACTTAGATTATCATCTTCATTGTAAATCACTTAGAAATCACTGAATGAATTCCTACTGAGTACCAAGCATAAACCATGCATAGATGAGAAATAATGATTAGGGCACTCTTTACCCTTGAGGAACATACAGATAAGAGAGAGAAACAGATGCAAACATAAAAATAACATATACTATCATAGGCATAATAACAGAGGCAAGCACAGGGAACAGTTGGAGAAGAGAGGTATGGATCTGGCTATTTATTCCCTAGAATATAATCAAAAAAGGCTTAACAGAGGAACTGATAATAAACCAGTTCCTTAGAACACTAACAGAAACTTTTGGATAAACAGGAAGACTCTTGGAAGAAGGATAACTTGTATAGGAAAATGCTTATAAAAGTCAGGCCTAGTGGTTTTTTTTTTTTTAATAAAGTAATTAATAGTGCTATAAATATAAGCAAATGTATTACTGAAAAAAAAATGAATCAACCTTGGATATTTGCTATTTATAACATAAGGAACATATCTATATAATAATAGCTATACACAATATAAAACATTTTGAAAGTCATTGGTAAGTTTTTCTTTACAAGTGGAAAGAAACAACAGAAGACAGACATAGAGTAATCCCTCACAGACACCCAGACACTGTGGGAGAGAGATCCAACAGATCTACCATCTCAGGACCATAGTACTGGGGCACACCAGACTCAGTTGGCACAACAAAATACGTAAAAGCCTTGTTCCTCATCCTACATTGGTGAGTAGTGACTGGGGTCTTAAAAGCTTTCAAGCAGTCATCTAAGATGCAGCTAATGGTCTCTTATCATCAGAAGTGAAAAAAAGTAAAAAAAAAAGGAAAAGTTGGAAGCAATCAGCCCTAGGGCACGATGGCCCTCGAGACCAGAAGAACTAGATGGTGCCCCACTACCAATGCCAACCACTCAGGAAAAGATTACATCTGGAGATCCTGGATAGAGTGGGAGGAAACATGTGGAACAAAATCTAAAAACTCAATAATGACCAGAATTACTGGTTGGATGGAATTTGGTGATACCCCCAATACTATGGTCCTAGGACACACTCTGGGCCTGGGAAAAAGCTCACTCCCAAGGGCTGGCTCTCAGCCCAATAGTAAACAAGATGTACATGCAGGCCTATCAACTCAGGGTGATGCACCCACACATTCTATGGAAATGTTTCCTTTGGGGCAATTGACCATGGGGTACCAGAGGGGCAACATTCGCATGGAAGAAATGCAGGACACACAGGAGTGCATAACTACGAGGGACATGGGGTAAGGGTTACTGGGACTGGATTAGGGTTGGACATGGTAAATAGGGAGTGAAACTAAATGTACATGTAATGTTGAAAGTAAACCAAACTCTTAAAATAAAATAAAAAAAATTAAAAAAGTGGAAATATGAATTCTGCATTTACATTGTGAGATAATCACTGTTACCTTGTAATTTTTGTTTTGTATAACCATTTTGCTAAAAACTTTAACTTAAATAGGTGGGATCAATTTAAAAATATTTAGCTTAATATACACTTAAAAAACATGTTAATACTAATTTTTTTTTTTTAAAAATTATGAAAAATAGAACATTACAGGGAAAAAAAGAAGCTGTTAAACAAATACATCTCTCAGTAACAAAAACAGTAGATAGTAAAAGAAAGTCCCAATAAAAAGGTATATGTTAACTCTTTATCCCTAAATATAAGTTAGTATTGAACTAGTCTTCCACTAGTTGAACCACTTTGAATCCCTATTTGTTGAAACCATTTTGTTTTGTCTAATGAACACTTACTAGACCGATATTCCATACTTTAATTAAATAGGACTTGCTCTTTCTGTCACCAGACTCCTCACACACTTCACTTTTTCTGCCATTTACATAGGTATTGGATTACGAACTATGTATTTACAACTGTCAAAGAATGAATAGGTTTTTTTTTTTTTTTCTTTACAAAACAAAACAAAACTTACCTCTAATTGGTGGTCTTTCTAGTTCAGAGTCAAGGTGAATTGGTGGAGAGATGTAGGATACCTGTCCATGATGTGCCTGTCCTGTGGGCCCAAAAAGAAGGGTTAAAAAGCCATTGTACTCACGTCTTTTTGTTTTGTTTGCTTGTTTTTATGATTATGTCACATTGTGTTTTTTTCACACTGATTAAATAATTCTTAGAGATTGTACACAGATTTACCAAAATATAAGAATAATATGTTGTTGATGTTGTTGTTATGTGCCGTTGAGTTGGACCCCAACTCATAGCGACCCCTCCTTGGGTTTCCGAGGTGGTGTCACTACGGAAGTAGATTGCCCAACCTTCCTTCTGAGGAGTGTGTGGTGGGTTTGAACCTCCAGCCTTCTGGTTAGCAGTCAAGTGCCTTAGGCACTATGCCACCAGAAGGCCTTCTACATTTCTAGAAAACTAAAATTACTACAAACTTCTCCCACTAACTTTCTCCTCAGTCATTTCACATATCAGTCAGAGCTATTTCTGAGGTTGCTTTGAGTGTAGTGTATGACTGTCATGACTAACTGCCTTGTGCACATTTCTATGCATACACCATACAAAAAATAATCCAGTTAAATTAGTCCTTCTCAAACAATCTAGCTAAAGAACTTTTTGTTAAATTATAAATCTATCGTAGACTATACTATAAAATATAACAATAAAAATGAATTGCAAGAAATATGTGATGGTAAACCTAAAAAATAAAGACATACAAAATATAAATACTCATTTTTTATTGTTAGATTAAGCAGACATTAAGTACTTTATTATTGCTTTAAGTGACCCTAAACACACTCAATTTCTGTACCCACTATTGTTTCTGTACTTATTTCACATTCTGCAGACTGGCTTCATTCTACAGACAATACTTTTAGTAGCATTTGTTTAGATCACTTTACAACCTGATTAATTCATATTTTAATATACAACTACTATTTAATTAGAAAATTACTCCTACTTGCTTACTGTGTTTAATGTAAAACAATAACCACAATTTAAAAATCTGTTTGATGGATTCATTCCCTTTTCCTTTCAAAACATTCTACCTGCTCATGTCCATAATTCTAATATTTATCCTGTCTTATAAGTTAAAAGTGTTAGAGTTGATTTGAAGGCCCAAAGGGTGACTGAAAAATTTGCCAGCATAGTAATACATAATAAAACATTTTCTAATGCTCAAAGTAGCTATAGTTCATATACTGATGATCCAGTAAGCAATTAGAATTTTGAGGCAAGAAAATATAATTGCAGAGTTACTTCAATTTCTAAAGCTAATTTATATAACCAAGATTTGTGTAGGAGCCCAGGACCCATCACTTTCTTTCTACAATGAGAATATACATTTATATTTCACAATTTACTATAGCAATTTACAGGGTTGTTAATCTCTTTTCCTAAACAAGGAAAGTTAATGACACATAGATTATGATAACAGTTAGAGTAACCTTCCCGTTTCAAGTAATATTCGACTTGTAATAAACTCGGCTGATGCCTCTTATGAGGCACATTTCAAATAATTAATATGGCTCCCTGTTGATAGTAGCTGCTGTTGCTCCCAAATTTGTTTCTAGCTAACAGTAGAGACAGTAGAGAGGCTAAAATATACAGAATCCTTCATAGTATAATTAAAAATATTGTGGATTAACAGTCAATTATTGTAATTGTTGTCAATAAGTTCATATCTGTGAAAACTTGAGTTGGCAAAAGGTGTGTGACAGACATATTTACTGCAAAAAGAGAGGCTGCTGAGGCTTCTTATGTACAACTAAATTGCTCATGGCATTTAGTTCCTTGGTTTGGAGGTTAGAAGTCATGGTTTCATGGGATAGCCTAGTTAACTGGTCTAATGACGTGTTTGAACTTGTTTTACCTCCAAATTTGTTGTGCAGTGCCTGGGGTCTTAAAAGCTTTCAGAGGGCCATTCAACATACAATAATTGGTTTCTATTTGCCTGGAGCGACAGAGGGTAAAGGAGAGGCAGGAATAGGAGGAGGATATGGAATGTGTGGTTCATTGTCTCCATGAAGAATTGGAGACCAGAAAAAGTGGATAGTACCTAGCTGCCATTACTAAATATTTTGATCAAAGATTTTATATAAGAATCCTGATGAGAAAGGGAGAAATGTAGGAACAGATTTCAAATTCTCATAGAATCCAGACCTTCTGGATGGAAACTGGATGAACCCTAAAACTATTGCCCTGAATTAGTATTTAAACTTTAAACTAAAAATATTCCCTGAAATCTTCTTAAAACCAAGCAGTAGTTTGGCTTGACTAGTAAAGAATGTTTTCCTAGAGTATTATGCTTTTGTAGTATCTGTTGTTATTGTTATGTGCCGTCAAGTCAAACCCAACTCATAGCGACCCCTCCTTGGGTTTCCGAGGCAGTATCACTACGAAAGTAGGATTGCCCAACTTTCCTTCCAAGGAGTGGCTGGTGGGTTTGAACCGCCAGCCGTCTGGTTAGCAGGCAAGTGTCTTAGCCACTATGCTACTATATGGGATCAAACTGACAACAACAAATCACAAGACCAGATGGGAACACTGAGGGGCAATGAATTTATGTTCAAGCGAGAGACACCCCTTAGAAAAGGAGGGTGAGAATGGTTGCACAAAGTGAAGAGTATAATCAATGTTGCGGAATTGTATAAACTGCTGAATGGGTATATGTTTTGCTGTGTATATACTCAACTACAACAACATAATAAATATATACATATATATGAAGGCATACATATATAGGAGCTCTGGTAGCATAGTGCCTAAAGCACTTGACTGCTAACCAGGAGGCTGGCGGTTCAAACCCACCAGCCACTCCTCGGAAGGAAGGTTGGGCAATCCTACTTTCGTAGTGATAACTGCCTCGGAAACCCAAGGAGGGGTCGCTAGGAGTTGGGGCCGACTCGATGGCAAATAACAACAACAACAACATATGTTAAGATAGATATATACATATATAGATGAAGATATATATATATATATATATATATATATATACACACACACACACACACACACACACATGTTGTTGTTATATGCCGTTGAGTTGGACCCGACTCATTGCAACCCCTCCTTGGGTTTCCGAGGCAGTATCAGTACGGAAGTAGATTGCCCCATCTTCCTTCCAAGGAGTGGCTGGTAGGTTTGAACCAGCCTTCTGGTTAGCAGTCAAGTGCCTTAGGCACTACACTACCAGAGCTCACACACACACACACACACATATATATACACACAAACATATGAACATATATATCTAGAGACAGAGAGAGGGAGAGGAGGAGATCTGGGGTCCCAGTGGCTAAGTTATTTGACTGCTAACCAGAATGTTGGCAGTTCAAACCCCACCAGCTGCTCCATGGGTGGAAGATGAGGAAATTTACTTCTGTAAAGATTTATAGCCTTGGAACCCAGTGGGGATCACTTTAAATTGGCATTGACTCTATGGCAGTGGATTTGGTTAATATATATATAAAGATTACTTTGCATTCACTTGCCATGTTTCAGTGGAACACTAAAAGCCGTATTATAAATGGAATCAGACACTATGCACTTTTAGTAGTCCATGTTTTATATAGTTCTTTAAAAACATCAAATTCTCTTCATTATTCTTAACACATATGTGGCTGCAAAAATAATATATATATTTAAAGACCCTGTGTTATTACATATTAATTGATTTGAAGCTTTATAGATAATATAACTGAAAATAAGATATTTTCACTTTTTATTGTCAGGAAAGGATTCAAAATAATCTTGGTATACAAAATTAATACTGATCTTGTATCTGATACTACAGCATGGCCTTCACCACACATGATAATAACCACAAAGCTCTTCTACATACATTACCTCCTTTTATCCAACCAACATCACTATGGAGATTTGAAAATAAGTATTAATAAGTGTTAATATATACATATTTTTAAACAAAAGAAGAGGAGTTGAAAAAACTTGTTGGAGAACATGTAACTAGTAAGTAGCAATGCAGCAATGTTTTCACTCTAAATCTGAAGTACGGTCATCTATATCAGGCTATCATTAATAGAGAAGTTCTCATTATACTGAAACCTGTGAAAAATAAAAATGTCTATAGGTTTCAATGATTCTACATTTATAAGTATGTTTTTTGAACTTTTCACTTTCACGTTGAAGTAAAAAGTTTGGATAAATGACAAATTCGCTTCTGTTCTGGGGATAATCAAGAATGCTCAACACAGGTACTTTAGGTAGCTTGGAGATTATAGTGTGTATCTCTGAGGGGAATATGTTTCAAAGAGCCAGTGGTGGAATGGGATAGAGATTATCAAGAGTAAGGTCCTGATGTGGTTTGCCATAATGCTGTTCTTTCTTTGAGGAGAAATCTAGGAAACTGCAGGATAGGGTATGACAAGAGAAAGCCACACTGGCAGGAATGGCCTGGGACTTCAAGCCTTGAAGGAAGGTCAGAAGTATACAAATAAATTGTAATTTGCTGACTGAGCCTTCTGATCTGCAGAATAAAACACAGAGCTTATGGAGACTGTTGTTGACTGCTTGAATAAATCAAAATTAAGATAAAAAAGTTTTCCACTTGAGAAAATTGTTATTCACACATTTATCCTTACAAAAACACATAAAAGATAATGAAATCTATTCTAATCTGTGACTAAGTAAGGCAATGATTCTCAGGGAAGCAACTGCCCTTCATTAGAAAGGGCATGGGGAGAGGACCGTGTGTCGTTTGAAAAATACCTCAAGAGACTTTCAAATCCCCATGCCCTCATTAAGAATTGCTATCAAATAATAATCACAATAAACTCCAGTTCAAAATATAAATTACTTCTATAAACATTTCTCTTAGACTTTATGGTAAAAAATAATCAACAACAAAAAAAAAAAAGAAAATGAGATCAGTTTAAAAAAAAAATTATTAAGGTTACAAAACAAGGAAAATATATATTGTTTAAAAACAAAATAGACTCTTAGGGAATATATTTGCTATGTCATTCATCTTATTTCCACCATGCTCCACTGCCTTACTTTAAACTTGTCCCTCTGACCACAGATTTA